AACCAGAAGGCTGGTGGTTCAAACCCACCAGCCACTCCTCGGAAGGAAGATGGGGCAATCTACTTCCATAGTGATACTGCCTCGGAAACCCAAGGGAGGGGTCACTATGAGTCAGGTCTGACTCGACAGCACATAACAACAACAGCAAGCTTGAGGGATGCCTAAGAGCCACAGTCTCTGGATATAGTTTGAGCTTTAACATTTAGGTCTTTGATCCATCTTTACTTAGTTTTTGTAAATAATGTAAGGTATGGGTCCTGTTTCATTTTTCTGCAAATGGATATCCAGTTTTGCCAGCAATTTGTTAAAAAAAAAAAAAAAAGACTGTTTCTTCCCTGTTGAATGGACTTTGACCCCTTCTCCAAAATCAGCTGTCCATGTATGGATAGACTTACTTCTGGGTTCTCAATTCTTTTGCATTGGTATGCATTTATCACTTAAAATTTCCCTCTGAACATTGCTTTTGCTGCATCCCAAAGGTTTTGGTATGTTGTGTTTTCATTCTAAATACTTTTTAATTTCACTTTTGATTTATTTTATGACCCAGTAATTTTTTTTAGTAATGTGTTATTTAGTTTCCATGTATTTATTTTCCTTGTTCTTCCTGTTACTGATTTCTAGTTTCATGCCATTATAGTCTTAGAAGATGCTTTGTATAATTTTGATCTTTTTAAATATATTGAGAGTTGCTTTGTGGCCTAAAATATGCTCTATTCTGGAGACTTGTCCATGTGTGTCATATTGTTTTAAAGAGCTAAAAGTGATTGACTTTAAAATACTTGATTGGCAAAGAAGAATATTTAAAAAATAATCTATAAAAGGAAAGTGGAAAGGTAGGGAGTAGAACTATAGCATTTAAAAATGTGTAAAGCAACAGTATTGAAGCAGTTTGGTGGAGGCCCGAGATTAGGCATGTAGATCATTGAAGAACAGAAATAAATGTTTTTACTTATACAGATTTGACAGATGTTAATGGAGTCACTGTTAAACAATGGGAAAGGGAATGATTGTTTAATAAATGTGGTTGGAATAGCCAGTTAGAATTTTAAGAAAAAAATGATCCACATCTACAACAAAGTTAATTTCAGATAAATTTTGAGTTACATCATTGAAAATCTAGAAAATAAAAGGATTTAATAATAATAGCTAAATAATAATAGTTCTCTGGAGCTTTCTAAGCAATTGGAAAACTCAAAAAGGAAGATAATAAAGATTAGACTGCATAAATAAATTGGTCTATTGTAACTGTATTTGTTTTGATTGCAACAGTGAGCATTATAGGAGAGCATGTCTATTCTTTGTTCACAATCTGAAAATTTGTCTCATTTTCCTCATGCTAGTTAGAAACTTTTTGTTTTCTATGTTAGTTAATGGGACAGAGAATGCAATTTCTTTATCTAAAATTTTATTCTGTAGATGCATTGAAAATTATACAGGAGCTCGTTGTGAAGAAGTCTTTCTCCCAAGCTCCAGCATCCAAACTAAAAGTGACCTGTTTGCAGCTTTCGTGGCATTGGCTGTCCTAGGAACACTTATCATTGGTGCCTTCTACTTCCTCTGCAGGTAAACAAAATACTTTTTAAAAAAGTAATACATAAAATAATTATTCCACTATAATTACTGTGCCGTTTAGTTCTGGATCTTAGTCCATATACTGCTTTCCATTTAGTTATCTCTCTAATACAATTTTTGTTTTTAAATTAATATGTAATTATTTGTTCTTTATATTATGATTATCATTATCATACCTTCACTTCTCTGAACTACTACACTTATTACAGTAATCATTGATTGTATTCTTCAAGTTGTACAGATCATTCTCACCCTGCTTTTCTGAGTTGCTCTTCCCCCATTAACATAAGCACACTACCCCCTAAGGTTCCTGAATAATGACTGCTAACCAGAAGGCTGGCAGTTCAAATGCACCAGCCATTTCTCAGAAGGAAGATTGGGCAATCTACTTCCATAGAGATTCCACCTCAGAAACCCAAGGAGGGGTCGCTATGAGTCAGATCCAGCTCAACGGCAGTGAGTGGTTGTCACTTTGATCCTATATGGGTGGTTCCTAAAATATATATATATATATATATATATATATATTTTTTTTTTTACTAGTTAAACTATTGTTTGGTTGTAAGAAGATATCAGAGGATATTTTTGGTTTTAGTTTTAAAGATTATCTCAGGGCATTAATTTCAGGTATTCATCTAGCATCCATAGCCACAGAAATTCTAGAATCCATGAAAATTAGAAATTCTATTTGAATTTTCCCCCTTTTGATCAGGATTTTTCTATAGAATCTTTAATCAAAATGTTTAGTAATGTTAGCTGGGCACTATCTAGTTCTTCTGATCTCATGGCAGTGGAGGCAGTTGTTCATGGAGGCATTTAGCCACACATTCCATATCCTTCTCCTGTTCCTGATTCTCCTTCTACCTTGGTTGCTCCAAGTGAATAGAGACAAACTGCTGCGCCTTGGATGACTGCTTGCAAGCTTTTAAGACCTCAGGCCACCAAACACATGAAAAGATCCTCAACATCACTAATTATCAGAGAGATGTAAATCAAAACCATAGTGAGATACGATTTTACTTCCACTAGGATAGCTAAGATGTAAAAGAACAGAAATAGTAAATGTTGACAAGAATGTGGGGAAGTTGGAACCCTTATCCACTGCTGGTAGGAATGCAAATTTGTACAGCCATTGTGGAAAACAGTGTGGTGGTTCCTAAAAAAACTAAAAATAGAACTACCATATATCCCAGCATTTCTACTCCTAGGAATAAACCCCAAAGACTTGAAAGCAGAGACTTAAACAGAGAAAGGCTTGTATACCAATATTGGTTGTAGCACTATTCACAATAGCCAAGAGGTGTAAACAACCTAAATGTACATCAACAAATGAATGGACAAACAAAATGTGGTACATACATACAATAGAATAATACTCAGCCAGGAGAAGAAATAAAGTCTTGATACATGCTACTATATGGTTGGAACTTGATGACATTATGCTGAGGGAAATAAGTTAATCACAAAAGGACAAGAATTTTATCACCTCACTCTTATAAATAGACAAGGAAAGGCAAATGTGTAGAGAGCAAAGTTTATTAGTGGTTATCAAGGGCAGGAGGGAAGAGGAAAGCGGAGTGGTGGATAATGGCAATTAATTGCATTGATTAAGGATAGGGTTGCAAGCCAATTATTGTAATTGTTATCAATAAGTTGTACAGTTGTAAAAAGTTGAATTGGCAGAAGTTGTGTGATATGTTTACTACAACAGCAAAAAAGAGTAGGTGCTGAGGCTGCTTACAACCAGAAGCCTCATGGAATTTGGTTCCTTTGTTTGGAGGTTTAGGATCATGGTTTTATAGGACATCCCAGTTAATTAGCCTAAAAATATATTTAGTGCTGCTGTTTTACCTCCTAGTTTATTGCGTAGTGCTGCTTAGAGATTTAAATCAACTTGGAGAGATAAACAAATAAGCAGGCAATTAATTTGAGGAGACTAGTAACTAACTCAACAAAGAAACTCTGGTTGCACAGTGCCTAAGGCATTTGATTGCTAATCGGAAGGGTGGCAGTTCAAACCCACCAGCTGCTCTACAGAAGGAAGATGGGGCAATCTACTTCCCTAAAGATTTACTGCCTTGGAAACCCAGTGATGGTCACTATGAGTCAAATCAACTCAATGGCAGTGTGTGCATGACTCAACAAAAGTAAAAGGAAAAACTATTTGTATGAACCGGTGCCACACATTGAATGTTACCTTCATTCATTAGTTTTTTCTTTAATTTTTTTGAAATTCTGTGAAAATAAGTGAATGTAGGATTTAAGTCTTTGTGTTATCTGATCTCATAATTCATCGTTAATATTTAGCTCTGGTGGCATAGTGCCTAAAGCATTTGACTGCTAACCAGAAGACTGGTGGTTCAAATACACCAGCCACTCCTCCAAAGGAAAACTAGGCAATCTACTTCCTTGGAGATACCACCTTGGAAACCCAAGGAGAGGTTGCTACGAGTCAGAATGGACTCGACGGCAGTGAATTTGTTTTTTTTCTTTGGGGGCGGGGTTGGTATTTATTAAATGTATAGTGTGTGCTATCATAGGTACTTATAAAAATGGAGCTGAGAGTAATCATAAAAGATATACAAGTAGGCTTGAGACATTTATATTGTAAGAAAAATCATATATAGGTTAAAATTATATTTCATAAAATCCTGATTTCTGAACTTCTTTGCCATAAAGTAGCAATTGAAAGTTGGAGAGTTTTCTCTTTTTAAACATGTGGTATTATATATTTTATCCCAAAATACATCATTTAAGTAATCCAGTATGTTAGATCTCTCATAATTTTAGCATCCGACTACTTCAGATATAAATATTTAAATAGAAGTCCATTGTATCAGATGGTATTTTCCAAAGATGACCACAATGACATCTCCATCCCACATGTTCTTCTACAGTGTGACCTAGCCACCCCCACTAAGAAGTGGATTTTATTTCTCTGCATCTTTGGATCTGGGCAAGTCCTGTGACTGCTTTGACCAAAAGAATATGGAAGAAGTGATGCCATTCCAATTAAGGTCATTGCCCTTAAAAGGCCTGGCAGCTTCTGCTTCCTACCTCTTGGAACACTTACTCTTAGGAAGCTTCTCTTAGAATAAGCCACTATGTTGTGACAAGTCTAAACAGTACAAAGGGACCATGTGTAAATGTTCTAGTCATCAGCCTTAGCTGTACTCCCAACCACAGCCAGCATCAACTGCCAGCCATTTGAATGGGCCATCTCAGGCATCCAGTTTAGATAAAACTTTAGTTGACTGCAGACTCAGCTGCCAGGTGACTGAAACCACATGATACATACCAAGTGGAAACTTCCTTGTCAATCTATAGGACCATGAAAGATAAATTGTTTTAGCAAGTAAATTTTGGGGTGGTCTGTTATGCAGAAAGTTAACTAGAACACCTATCTTTCGAATTAGGTTTATTCTTGACTTTAAATATATAAATGATTACAGAAAAGGGGGAAGTGATCTATTATTTTTACTTTATCCCTTTAAACATTTTTTTAGTGAAATATTCTAAGGGGAAGACCAACTGAGAAATTTCCCCATTAATCATTCTAATGTCTGCTTGGAGATACAATATTTTCATCTGTTATTGATTGAATAATAAACACTTTGTGTCTTTGTGTAATATCAATCAGGATAGGCTAAGGTTGGCTGCAGGAACTATCAGCCATAACCATTTGTGGCTTAAAAACAAAAGATTATTTTTCATTCATAGTATATAACTATTATAGGTTGACAAATAAGGCATTGCTAATGACGGTTACTTAAGGAGGAGCTCTTGTGGCATAGTGCCTAAGGCATTTGACTGCTTACCAGAAGGTTGGCAGTTCAAACCCACCATCCACTCTGCGGAAGGAAGACTGGGCAATCTACTTCCATAAAGATTTGCCACATCAGAAAGGGTCACTATGAATTAGAATCGACTCAATGGCAGTGAGTTGTTTTTTTTTTTTTAAGGACCAATCTGATGAATCACTCACCATCTTGAATGCTATTGGTCACCATGCCAGAGAGAAAAAGAAGCTCTGCAGGGCCTCACACTGGAATTTAAATGCTCTGTTCCAGAAGTGGCACTCTTCTGACATAATTCATTGGCCACAGCAGTTGTCCTACTCAGTCACAGCGAGTTTCAGGAAATTCAGTGCTGCCATATGCCCATATAAGGCAGAAAACCAGAAATATTTGACCAAGATCACTAATGTCTACTATAGTGACAAAATAATTTATAAGGAAATCTAATATTCCACTGGGAATTGTTAAGTGTGACTTGTGTTATTTTTTTAAAAATCCATAATATTGCTGTAGTTGTTCAAAATGAAATTCCTTTGCCAAACCTTTGAGTTGGTGAAGGGCATGGTATGTTGTCCCCAGAGAAGCTCTTAGGAGCAAAGTTGTAGGAACATGACCTTCTAGGCCAAAGTAGCTCTACAGGCTTGAGCCAGAATTTAGTAATGTTTCTAGTCTGAAGGGCCCTGTAGCAGACTAAATATTTTTGGGTCCTATCAGCAAGTGGAAAGTATAGGTAAAAGAGAATATAATAACAAATAGTGCTGAGTGGAAGGAAGAAAGAAATTTCCAATGACAAATATTATGTGGATTTGCATTATGAATTCACACTATCCGTCTAGGGGAAAAAAAAAAAAGAAGAAAAAGAATGTAAAGCATTCCTGGCTAGTCACATCCTCAGACTGCTGACAAAAGCAAATACAAATCAATTCTTGAAAAACCCACCCTCATTCTTTAACTTAAAAATCTTACAATATTAAAAAAAAAAAAAATTACTGAAAACATAAGGAAACAAGGCACCATGAATTAGAACCAGCAGAAATAATTGATAGTAAAATCAGATGTTCAGAATTTTCAATTATTAGAAGAATTGGGCACATAATATAAAATAAATGTGTTTAATATGTGTGGTAGTTATGTTTGTGTGTCAACTTGGCTGGGCCTGGTTGAGTGGCTGGGAAGCTGGTGGTAGTTGTTCCC